GAAGTGATTTTTTCCAACATACGTATGATAAATTTGAAAGACACGATAACTAGCTATAAGTCCATTTTGTAGGACTCTTTAACCCTATACCACGCCTCAGTCTGTACATCAATTCTAGGGAAAATCTCAATAAATTTTCTGACTGAATAGCGAAAAGTGCAGACCAGGATCAGATGGCACAAATGTGCCTTGGTCTGCAATGTTTACATGGGTAGATGTTGTTGCCGCCATCAGGCTCAGGGTTAAACAAAGATGCCCTATTAGCGGTTGTAAATATATTTTGGTTTGACCAATAAAATCGTATCATGTGAAAAAGTACCTATATGACCCATGTATCTATAGTAGTTTTAAAAGCTTTTGCCATTTGTTCTACCCTAAATGTTACACTGACTGAACTAATATAGGAATATAGGAAAAACATCGCCACTGACAGAGTAACAATAAATATATATGAAGTAATTATATAATGACAAGAAAAGGCAAAACTTAAACATATTGGTTTGTAAAGTGAACGATATGATGGCTTTCAAAGTTTTTTGTGTCTTCTCCAGGACCTCATTTCTTGGCGGAAGGATTTAAGATGTACTACCCGCAAGCATTCACGAGTTTGTATAGTGGTCAATTTAAGCAGTGTAAAAATAGAATGAAGATTTCTGAAAAAAATGTAGAAGGCTGACATTTTATATTTTGGGCCTCATTTGACTTAGAAAGTGTTGATGTTTAATTCACCAAGAACAGGGAAATCCTAAATTAAGTCTCAAGTGTGACTGATTTACAAAAGAATATAGAGTACGAAATTTGACTAGGCCGAGACCATTCACATTCTGTACCGGAACGGTGTTAGTTTTTAGCAATACCTTTACTATAGAAATTACGAACTCCGTCGAAGATAACAATTTTTACCAATTTTCTAAGATACATTGTATATCGTAAGTTTTGACTAATTTTTGAATTAATGGTTGTTTAGATATTGATTCTTACTTTCTTGCATTGTCAGAGATAAGATAAAAGGAATGCATCTTTGTAGTTGAGCGCCATGCTATATGCCGTACTCCGGTAAATTTCGGACCTGTGACTAGATGATTAAATTATGGCATTTTCACCCACTGAAGTGCAATTTAAGATGGCTTACTCATTTCCTCACACACATTAAAATAGATACATATTACATTTTTCATTCATTATCTATTTTTGTTATTTACTCCTGGTTAATCTGGAAGTTTCAGCGGCAATAATGTTAAAATATGTATAGTTTGAATTGTCATTCTGATTTCTTTCAACTATATAATGTTTTTGAAAATGGATTTCGAAATATTTATAATAAGACCGTAGTTTTTCAGTTATCTTCTTGAGGCCTGTTGCTTATTTAAAGTTCGTTGTATAGATCATATAAATTATAATTATGTTTTAAATAGATGCTGGATTGTATTTTTTTCTAAAAATTTTTTTAACAAAACTTTTCACCATTATGGACAAGACAAATGTTAAATGAGCTGAATGCCTGTGATTAGCAGCAGGTGTGCTCACCTGTGAATACATGTAGCTGTTAAGAGAAATGCGTTTTATGTGCAATGTAATAGATAAAAGTGAGTTAAAAGAAGAATACAAGACTACTGGTAGAAAGCTTGCAGCTGTCCAGTAAAGTGTAAAGATGGAACATTCTCAAGTATCAAAATATAGTACATTTAAGTACAAAAAAAAGAGGGGATAAAAAGTTACCCATAAAATGCATTGTATTAGATATGCATGAATTATTTACACTGAGTGATTGAGTATCTTTTGAATGAAGAAGGCACTTCATTAATATCATCTTTATTATATTTTGAAATGGTGATCTGTAATCTATTATTCAAAAACTTTCTTTTTTAGTTTGATTGGGATAACTAAACGCAGATACGAGTATATATAGAGACTACTTTATGTTTTCTAAACAATCAAGATGAAATAAAGTCTATTCAAGAGCAATATTGAACAGACATAATTATATGGTACAAACACTATGTGATATTTATGTTCAATTTCTTTTTCATTAAAGACATCTCAAAGGACATAATGGAAAAACAGACAGGTGAAAAACAACATAGCTGCATTATCTGTGATAGATCATTTACTCGAAACAGTTATCTGAAAATACATTTGATTTCACACAATGGAGTGAAGACGTATGGATGTGAACTTTGTGACAAATCATTTTACCAGCAAAGTAATCTTGATACACATATGAAAATACATACTGGAGAGAAGAGATATCATTGCAAACACTGTGGCAGCTCCTTTCCTTTTATGAATAAGCTTAAAAAACATATGATCATTCACACAGGAGTGAAGAGTTACCAATGTGAACTATGTAAAAGATCATTTTTTCATAAAAGTAATTTAAAGAAACATGTGATTATACATAATGGAGAGAAGAGTTATCAATGTGAATTTTGTAGTAGAGCATTTTATAGAAAAGATTCTCTCACAAAACATATGATGGTACACACTGATGAGAAAAGTTATCAATGTGAAGTTTGTGACAAATCATTCTACCGAAAACATATTCTTGAATCACACATGCTTATACATACTGGAGAGAAAAGCTATCACTGCAAGTTATGTAATAAATTGTTCTCTCTGAAATCTAATCTTAACAGACATATGAAGTTACACATGAAAGTAAAGAAATATAAATGCAAAGTGTGTGATGTTTCATTTTCTTCAAATAGTGATCTTGAAAAGCATACTGCAATACACACAGGAGAGAAAAGTTATCAATGTGAAATCTGTGGCAAATTATATGCTAGAATAGGTGACCTTAAGAAACACATGTCCATTCACCCAGAAAAAATTATTAATTATATGTCATGTGAAATATGCAACAAACTATTTTCTCATAAAAATAGTTTAAATGCTCATATATTAACCCACACTGAAGTGACGAATCATCAATGTGAAATCTGTATGAAATCATTTGCCAGAAAAGATTATCTGAAAAAACATATGACAACACACACAGGAGAGACTAATTATGTATAATATAAAATATGTTAAGAATAGTAGTCCCAAAGCACATATGGTGAGACATGCTCGAGAGAAGAGAGCTTTTTGTTGAGAAATATGTGAGAGATCCTGAATTGTCTGTCACGAATCATCTTAGCAATGTCCTAGCCGTATGACTATTCTTAGAACTTACTTGTGAGGAGGTAACTATCGAAAAGTCATTTTCTCACAAATGTAATCTTAAAATGCACATTACAGTACATGCAAGAGAGAAATTGACAATTTCAGACTGTATTCCGTGACTTGTGATTTCAAATCTCTTGATTGCAAGAGAACACATATCAGCCGCTGAGCGGCACATGTTTGACACAGAGTATATAGAGAGACTTTAAGCTTGATTGCAAGAGAACACATATCAGCCGCTGAGCGGCACATGTTTGACACAGAGTATATAGAGAGACTTTAAGTATGCTCAAAATGTGAGAGATCATATTGTGTTCCAAAGACGCATCGGTATCATCATCAGTTGTCCTTATTGTTACAAAATGTTCAAGAGTTATGTTAGATACATTTTTGATATGACAATATGTTTAAACTGGGTTCACTTTGTCAGATAAATAACTTGAATAAAAGAATATGTTGTAATATTTCCTGTATATTACATGTATATATAAAGGCCCAAGGTGTGATGGGTTAGCAATAAATTTCTACAATTTTTTTTTTTTGAATAGAATTGGATTTTATATGGTGCGGTAAAGCAAAAAACTTTGTTTAAATAGTTTCAAATGGGTATTACACAATGTACATAATTATGCCATTGCTTTTCAACCAATGCTTTTCAAAAGTATATAGATATATTTACAAATGTACATTAAATCTTTAAATGTTTGTTATGCCGAGTCATAAAATGGCTGGGGCATAAATTGTTACCGTTTCGTCCTTCGGTCCTTCCGTTATTTTGTCATCATTAGTTTACGTTCATTATCTTGGTAACGGTTGCACACATTCAACTCAAATTTTGACATATATATGTTCAACTCAAATTTTGACATATATATGTATATATCATAAAAAATACAGACCAAATTTGGTCAGGGGAGTTATAAGAATACACTGGTCAAGTTCGAATTTGGTCATGGTTTGATGATATCTGACAGAGTTACCCCTCTTGAACTTTGAAAAAGATCAGAAATTTTTAGTTTCCGTTCATTATCTCCCCAATGGTGGTACACATTCAACTCAAATTTGACATATAGATACATCTTAGGAATAAGCTAAAGAGTTCAAGTTTGTATTTGGCGTGGTTCAATGATTTTGGACTTGAATGTTGGAACATTTTGAATTTTCAGTTTCAGCACTCATACTTTTGTGGAAATGTATGTAGTCATTATTTTGGTTACAAATATGAAATATGCAATTTACAAAAAGGTTAACACTGAATAGTTTCAGTGCCTTGAACTTTGTATAAAATGAGTTGTGTTAACATTAAATAGTTTTAAGGACTTTGAACTTAAAATGAAAAACAATAGTTTGTGCAAACAAGTTTGGAACTAAATACTATAACATCTGAAATTTTGGCTGCATGCGGGGGCATCCGTGGCGTGACGACACATTAGTATAAAGAGCTTTGCCAAGAGATGTGCTTAGGCAATGTCTCACATCGAATTTACAGAAAAGTATTTATAACATTGAATATAATATATCTTTTCACAGGCCCATAAAATACCAATGTTTGTGTTGCATAAAAAAACTCTCTCCCAGATCAAAGAGTTAGCATGGAATCAACTTATTATCATTCACATACAGAACAAAATACTTTCACGTGAAAACAAATAAACAGACACATATCAAACTAAATCAAACAAATCACTAGTTTATGCCTGCTTTGACTTACAAGAATAATTTTGTTACACCATAATGTTTTGAAAGTTGTATGTTCTACAAAAGAAAACTGAATACTTAAAATTAAGTCATCATCATCTATACTATAATCATCATCTTCTCAAGATACAAGACTTGTATCGGACACACATCTGAACAATCCATTTCCATAATTTTTTGTATATTGTCTTCTGCCAGATAAAGATGACAAGCTATTTCTCCTTCACTTTGTAAGCTAAATCCTGAAAACTCAGAACTTGAATCACTGATAGAAGCGCTTGAAAAATTAGCTATTTCAACCATTTCAAATGGCATATCATCGTAACCAGTACCACAGATATATAAACAATATAATATATTTAGCTCCATGCCTGTGCCAACGTACTGTTTAATAAATGCAGCTAAATCTTTAACACTTGTAACAGGACATTATGTTTCTAGCCCATCAGATTCAGGCATTCCTCTTGGAGAACGGCTGTAGGGGTCATAAAAATACAGATGACCTTCTTCCTGAATAATGGCACATGTATTATATATAGTATGGTTTGCTATTTCCCATTGTAAAAACTGCATGTGACAACTTAAAGTTACCAAATGATTCTGTTTTTGGCATCTTCCATATTATAAAATGGATGCTCTGTGGATTCTCTTTAAAGTCTTTGCCCTTATTATTTTAACCGAATAAACAGTGGAGGTATATCAACAGCAGATCAACATGATTTAGAACTGACATTTTGTACATAAAGTTCATCACCATTTTGAAGTGTAATATTCTTGGTTTCCACAGTCTATTCTGATGGCGGTGTAGTGGCACATACTTCAACTGTCTGAAACTTCCAATAAATTTTTGGTGGCCCTGATGACAAGATGCTTGTAATACCATTTTTGTAGGAAAAGGTAATGCTGTTTATCACAAACTAAAAATAGAAAAATATGGAAAGTATTTATTTATTTTACAGAAAACAGCATTTTTTTCAAATTACATGTAATTACAAAAATATTGTTTCTTTAGTGTAGCGTGTACCGAGCTGTCGATTATTAAATCTATCGCTACAAAATAAAATTACAATAAAAAACCAAAATAAGACCTGGAATCGATATAAAACCCAATTTATTAATGAAATGTCGCTATTTAGTTTTTAACGAAATTTATTAAATGTAACTTTAATAATCTTTATATTCTTAAATGCAAATACATGTAATTTTTCTCGGGATACTTATCCTAATAATTGGAAAATAACTAAAAAACACCATTCATTGCAAAATAACAATCTTAATCTAGATCTACTTCTTAAATCATTAAAAACTGTATATTCAAAAATAAACAATTATTTTTCTCAAAAACAATTCTCAAACAAATACCTGTCGAAAGCTATACCTATATCCTTCATTCCCCTACTTTTACATTTCAACAATCTCTTATCCTACATTCCTTTCTAAAGATACAATAATTCACACATTGATAACAAATAGTTCCTCAATAATCATTTGCCTTATAAATATATAGCATCCTTAGTACCAGATATCCGAGATTTCTGTGTACTAGTAACTATATATAAAAGCTTTAAACTTCAACCAAAATATTTCTAATCAACCGTTTGTCCGAGAGGTCTTACTGAAACAAAAGAACATTTCAGTACCAGATATCTGAGATTCTGTGTACATGAAAATGCTACTATCATTACGATCCTACTCTTACAAGGACATAACCAAACATATTTCAATCTATAAATTTCCCTAAAATACTTAAACTAAACAATTACTCAGAGATTTGACAGATATAGTAAAACGTCTTTAGTGCCAGATATCTGCGATTTCTGTACACTAGTATGTATTTACTACGTCGTTCCCTTCTATACATGCACATACATATTCAAACCAACTTAAAATACCCATTTCTCAAAATTTCTTCTATCGAACGTTTGTCCATGAGGTTTCACAGAAGCAGCAAGATATTTTAGCACCGGATATCCAAGATGCATCGGTACTAGTAAATATAATACTGCTCTGATCTGCCCCACGGACGAAACCAAACTGACTCTTTTGCGCTGCACTTGCTGTATTTATACTAGTGAGTGAACCATCTCCGCAGTGAATGAAAACAATGATTTTGAATGGCTAATAAAAATAAAACGTTTCTCGATACTGATTCTGACAAAATCTTATAAGCGTCTGTTACTTAAAGCTATTTCTCTTATGAACAACTGTGAAAAATAGATAAACAATTTCAAATATAAACACCTTGAAGGATACCATAAAGTTATACAGATTTAAACGTGAAACGTAAAAATAATTCAAATACCTACTCTTTATACCATGATATATTTACAAATACATTATCATATTTTTTCCAATACATAGAGAATAACATGCTACTGTCTTTTGATATCTATTTTATCAGGCGAGGCTGATATGGGCTAGAAAGGGCGAGGCTTGCCGAGCCCTTTCTGCTCATATCAGCCGAGCCTGATAAAATAGATATCAAAAGACAGTAGCATGTTTTTCTATTTATCATGTAACACATAATAACTGTCAAAATAACAAAATAATCTACTTTTAAATAGCGAATTTCGTTAAAAAGGGGAATTTTTGTTCAAAGAAATAATTCTTGAAAACAAATTCCTCCGCCCCTGAAACTTAGAATTTGTAATTAGCGGCCATTTTTTCTTTCGACTCGGATAAAAGATACAACAGAATGTAGGCCTAATACGATAACGTTCTTACCTTTAATTTAAACATCGATCCAAAAATCCGCTTAGAATCACATAAACTAAACTTTACTGCAATTTTTGTCTTGAATTGTCATGTTCAAAAGTTCACGATTATTTCAGTCAAAGAAAAGTCAAATCGGCAATCGAACACAAGCTACACAAACATGCGTCTTAATTTTTAAACGAAACAATTTGTTCACTTATTAGATAATAATCCGGCGAAATAAAGTAAACATTTACACGTTCTCAAAGAAAATCGTCTAGCCTGTTTGTTATGATTACATGTATAGTATGACGTGAACATTGATGATGTCATTTGCAATATAAATTATGACGTCACTTCATTTAGTTGGTGCTAAAACTATTCGCTATCTAATTTATTCGTAATTGAAATCGAAATAATAAATAAATAAATATCGCATCTTGATTCAAGACTTGTAAGGGTATGAGATTACATTGTAGAATTCACATGCTGATGAAAATGAGAATATAAGCAATTGAAAAAAAGTCCGTTAAAATGGGCGGGGCTTATTTTTGATATCAGGTTACTGACCTGATATCAAAAATAATTATCAGGCAAGTGTTATCGGGCAGTTACCATAGCAGTTGCATGATAAAAATACAAATGGCGAACTTATAGAAAGGGGAGGCAATAAAGTTACCCATAAAAACGTTTCCGTCACATTAGTTTTTTTAAGTAAACAAAACTTATTCATAATTTGAAATTTATGGCAATATAGGCTTTATAATGACAAATGTTAATAAAATTTTGATAATTATAACATTCAAAATTACAAAATTAAAATTTCTTTTATTCTATGATGTTAAAAATATGAACCACACACAAATTTTAACTTACACACAGTTAGCCACAAAACTGCCAGCTTCAGCTACATGTATTTTCAATATTTTAGCAGAATTGTTGAGGCCAATTATATAACATCACATTAACTGATATGACATCCTAAGTATGTCCAGTTTTTTTGGACACGGTCTGAGTTACAACAGTTTTCCATTACAATTCTACTGTATGGATATCATGGATATGGGGCTAG